GTCCCGGGGTGTGTCCCGGGGTGTCCCAGGGATGTCCCGGTGGTGTGTCCAGGGGTGTCCCGGGGGGTGCCCCGTGGTGTCCCAGGGATGTCCCGGGGGAGTCTCCAGGGGTGTCCCGAGGGGTGACCCGGGGTGTCCTAGCCATATCCCGGTGGTGTGTCCAGCGGGTGTCCCGGGGTGTCCCCCGTGGTGTCCCAGCGATGTCCCGGGGGAGTCTCCAGGGATGTCCCAGGGGAGTCTCCAGGGCTGTCCCGGGGTGTTCCGTGGTGTCCCAGTGATATCCCGATAGTGTGTCCAGGGGGTGTCCCGTGGTGTCCCGGTGGTGTGTGCAGGAGGTTTCCTGGGGTGTCCCCCGTGCTGTCCCAGCGATGTCCTGGTAGCCTGTCCGTGGGTATCCCGGGGGTGTCCCAGGGATGTCCCGTGTGCTGACACCCATGGCAGAGTCCCCACAAGACACTGTGACTGCTCTGCCATCCAGATCTCCCCCTGCATTGTTCTGTGTTGGTTGAAATCGTGATGTTTCATGCTCCCACACAATCCCGTTGAATTGGGAATCGTGTCAGTAAGGGCACACAGAAGTGTCTTTCTGGCTTCCAGTTGCGCCAAGGTTTGGCTCAGTGGAAGTTGTTTTTCATTTGAGGGAGGTGGAAAGAAGTGTTAATTTCCTAACAGTCTTGTATTAATATTTACAATAAGTTGTAATTGCAAGAAGTAATAAGTGTATTAATAATTGTAGTCAGTATTAATTTCCAATAGTAAAAAGAAAACATACCAGCTTCGGGGTGGGAGTGAATGGAACAAGATTTAGTGCCAAATAGGCCCTTTCTTCCCCCTCCCTGAAATTAAAAATACTGTAAAAGTGGAGCCAATATCCAATATAACTCATCTCTTGCCTCTTGTTGAGTTTAATGGGTTTGGAAACATCTGTAACATGCTGACAGCGGGGTCAGTCCATAAGGAAAAATGATTCCCATCACCATATGAGGAGCAGTAGGAATGAAGGTGAGAGGTCAAGGGTTTTTTTTCCTCCCTGATGTTGCAAAAGGTATGACTTGGGACATTGAGGCAGGTAGTGACAGGAGCTGTACGTGTTCCTTGGTTTGGGCTCTGAGTTGGGCAGTGCTCCTGGAATAGTGGTGGTTTCCTTGATCCTGTGGCTGTGGAAACACTGATGGTGGAGTTGGGGCAAGATGGCAAGAGGAGTGGGAATATATCTCTTGGGAGCCACAGGGATTTAAATTGGTGTCTACTGATGATGAAACTTCACCCTGAACTCTTAATGCAGTTTGTGTTACATCAGTTCTGCCTTTGGGTTGTGGCACTGGGAAACAAAACAAGCTGAGATAATGGTTTTGTAACTGCTATGATTTTTAGACCTGTCTTAAACTTTTTTTTTAACTGCTTCTTCTCATGCCCTGAAGGTTGGAGTGAGAGGGAAGGATATTGTTGTTCTTGGGGTGGAGAAGAAATCTGTGGCGAAACTGCAGGATGAGAGAACCGTGCGGAAGATTTGTGCTCTGGATGACAATGTCTGCATGGCCTTTGCAGGTAAAGGGGCCCTGCAGGGGGTTTGGAGTTATTGGGACACCTTTGGGTATGCTTATGGATCCTGAAAGTTTCAAATATTTGGTGTAACTGGCAGAGATCTGTGGGGAAGGAACATATCTTCACAGTTGTGTAAGTAAAAGTATGGATAAATAGAGAGAGGCAATGATCTGATGAGAGGAGGTGCATAAAACAAGGTAAAACCTCTTCTAATTCAGAAAACTCCTCCTGGATGAACAGTTCTGGATTTGAAGCATAAAATTACTCTGTTGCCACATTCTTTCTCTTCCAAATGCCTCAATTTCCAAGCTGAAACAGGAGGTGTGAAAGTTGAAAAAAATGTATATATATAAACGTAGGGAAAATGTATTTCAGAAGGTTTCTCCTCTGTCCAAGTAGTTTAGACCCTTTGTGTCAGTATCAGCAATACTTTAAGGGGAGATGTGATTTAACTGACAAAAGAACAGGGTTTGGGTTCACTGTGCAGGAGTGAGAGGCTCAGCTCCTGCTGCCTTGTCCCTGAGCCAAGGGCTGGGATAGGTGCAGGGGTCACAAACCTGAGGAAAAGTTCCCTAATAAAAGAAGGCTGTAAATGGGAAGTGACAGAGTTAGCTAAAAAGTAAAGCAAGAGCTCAATTTCTTTTAAATCTTTTTTCAATGGGTCACACTCAATTTTGTCACCTCACATTGTGCTGCTGTGGACTCAACCAGACAAGAGCTGCAGGGCAGATAAAACTGGCTGATAGTTGGGACTGCATGAAGAATAAATGTGTGTGGGGATGGAGATTGCTAGTTTGCTGGGATATGGAATGCTGTCAGCAATACCCTCATTACCTGGCTCAGAATTCCTTGTGTCATCCAACTCACAAACATGAAAGCTGTAAATTAAATCCTTTTGCTGTTTTGGTACATTAGCCACTTTCTGTTGCTTTACAAACACTCCTGCTCAGCAAACCTGAGGAGTGTGAGCTCTTTGCTTTCCCATTGCTGTTGGTGTGACCCTGTGGGTGTTTTGCAGCCAGACTTGTGTTCTAAGGTTGTTCCATGACTCTGGGAATGTGCTGTTGTTTCAGGGCTGACAGCTGATGCCAGGATAGTCATAAACAGAGCTCGTGTGGAGTGCCAGAGCCACAGGCTCACTGTGGAGGATCCTGTCACCGTGGAGTACATCACACGGTACATTGCCAGCCTGAAACAGGTGTGTGGGGCTGAGAGGAGCTCAGAGATGTGTCCTGATCTGCTGTGCTACAGGTGTTACATGTAACTGTTGTGTTAGCAGATGTTACACATAACATACAGCTCATATGTGTAGTGTGTAACGTGTGTAACATCTAAGATTTCAGGCTAAGTGTGTAAAATGTCTGTCCTGTTCACCTGGTGAAAATCAGCACAACAAACCACATTGTGGGTGTTTATGGGAATGGGGATGTAGCTGTATAAAAGGAGAGTTGAGTGTTGTTTGGTTTGGGGTTTTTTCCCCTCAAGATGGAGACATTAGTGCTTGTAAGGGCTGCACAGCTACATATGTGACATCATCAGGACCTCTTTGCTCATCTCTAGCTCACTCTCAGGACAGTGGGGCTGGTTGTTGTCAAACCTCCTCATGACTCCCGAGAGTTTTTCCTCCTGCTCAGCCATTGCAGGGAGGGGTAAGAGAGGAGAAAATTTGGGCAGTACTTAATACGTTTTATGTTTGTGTTCATGAATTTGAAATGCATTGCAGTGTCAAAATATGCCCAGCTGCATTCTGTGAGAAAATGATTTATTTGCCAGTGTATTAAACTGATTTTCAGCCACTAGTGGGGATTAGAGAAAATCTAATTTCCTTATGCACAGACATGTGTTGGTGCAGTGGTGATGGTAATAGTGGTAATGTGTCTAGTCTGCCAGCTCAGGGCATCACTTCCCAAAGTTTCACTCTGCTCCTTTACAGAAATCTCACCTTTGTGTCTTTTGTTGTGGCACATTCACCACTGCTCTGAGAATGTTCCACACACAGCTCACCCAGTCCCTGCTGTCAGTGCTGTGGGTGTCAGACCTCCTGGCTCTGCTGTGTGATGTGGCAGTGACTTTGCTGACAGTGTCACAGGAGGCTGTGACACGAGCTCCAGTGTCACTTGTTGCTGTGCCTTCCCATGGAACTGCTGCCAATCACTGGTGAAAACTGAGTGTTCAGGTGTCACCATCCTAATTTTTGGCTTCCTAAACCACATTGGAGCTAGTGGACATGGCTCTGGCTGCCTCAGCACCACCCACAGCCAGAGCTGTGACCAGGTGTGGGCTCAGGGCTCGGACAGGAACCTCCTCTCCCTCACCTGCCTTAGAGGTTCTGAGAGATACAGAGTCCTAACTTTAGCAGGGAGATTGGCAAGAGCCAGATGAAAGCACTTCTGGTGGCTCTTTGGGTTGTAACTTCTCCAGTGTCTGCTTTGCAGTCTGTAAGTGTTTCTGTCACTGTTTCTGAAGTGTCTGTTCTCTCTGCTCAGAGGTACACACAGAGCAATGGCCGCAGACCCTTCGGCATCTCTGCCCTCATCGTGGGCTTTGACTTTGATGGAACTCCACGGCTGTACCAGACTGATCCCTCTGGCACATACCATGCTTGGAAGGTGAGTTGATAACAGTCTCTTGTGGAGATGGAATGAAATATTTGTGAGTTACTGTTTCCTTGAAAGAGGAACTGGTGTGGAAAGGAGATCTCTCTAGCCAGATGGTGCTGGTTCACAGCTGCAAAAATCCTTAATGATCCAGTGCACTGAGAGTGGCAGTCTGCTCTTCAGCTTTCCTTGGGAAACTTTGTCCTGTTTTCCAAAAGAAACCCCAAACCAACCCACCTGTGCCAGACAACTCTCTTTGAGTGTGACATGAGGGAAGTAACACGTTCAACCTCCTGAAAAATACATGGTGATCACAAAATGCTTTTACATTATGTCATTGTAAAACTCTTATTTCTTGCTTGTTCTGTAAACAACATCTTTTCTAAACCCCCAGTCATTGCCTTTTTGCCCTGAATGTTTCCAGGCTAATGCCATTGGCAGAGGAGCCAAATCTGTGCGTGAGTTCCTGGAGAAGAACTACACTGATGAGGCCATTGAAACGGATGATCTAACTATTAAACTTGTCATCAAGGCTCTTCTCGAGGTGAGGCTCTTCCCTCTGTGGCTTTCAGTGTGTGCCTGGCTTCACTTCTTAGATGTGAATGTGGGAACATCTTCATGGGATGTCCCAGGGAAGTCCTGTGAGAGCTGTTGGCTGTGGGATTAAATTCCAGGTTCACTATATTTGGGATAACAATTTCTGTAGTTTACACAGAGTAACTTAGCAGCAGTTTGGGGAAGGAAAACAGACCTCAGTTCAGGGCATTGATACAAATGCACCAAAGATGTGCCAAGCCACACATTGAAGATTTCAATTCTGTGTTGAAGTACAGAAAACACCACAAGTCAGGTGTTGAGGCTGAGGTGTTCTGCAGCCCCTGAGGGTGTTACACTGCTGCTGGTGTCCAGATCTTAGAGCTAAGGAGTAAAATACTCCCCCATCCTATCTGTTCTCCTTCCAAGGAGACCTGAAAGGGGTTTGCTGGAAGGAGGTATGTCCTAATGCCTCCTGTGCCTCTTGCTCAGGTGGTGCAGTCTGGTGGGAAGAACATCGAGCTGGCAGTCATGCGCCGGGAGCAGCCGCTGAAGGTGAGGACTGTTTTTGCAGCCCATCCCTGATAGTGTCCTTGCAGATCTGCCTTAGCTTACAGCCCTTAATCTCACATCCTGCACTGGCAGATACTTCAGTTTATTCTCAGTGGCCAAGGAATGTTGTTGTGTCTGCACCAGGTACCTGTCTCTGGATAAACAGCAGTTAATGTTTTTCCCATGGCAGAACTAGAGTCGCTTCCATAAAGTTTATTTGGTGTCTTGAGGGTCACTTGTGTTTCTGTTTCTGTTTTAGATCCTAAACCCGAAAGAAATTGAGAAGTATGTTGCTGAAATTGAAAAGGAGAAGGAAGAAAATGAAAAGAAAAAACAGAAGAAAACATCATGATGAATGAAATGCTACTGCTTAGCTGCTTGTTTTTAATTCAAGTGATGGGTTACTCTGTATAGACATGTAGGCATTCCACATACTCATACTGTGCCCTCTCAAGACCTACAATAAACCTACTGTTTTTTTTTAAAGCTGTTATTTAAAAAAAAACTGCCTGTTCCTTGGATTTTAATTACCCAGGATGATGTGGTTGGCTACAGAACAGCAGCAGTGACCCATTAAAGGGCAGACACTGCAATTTTTTCCATGGACGCTTCACTTTAACAGTTCTTTGCTGCACTGTCTCAGGTCCTCAGCACCTCCCTTTATTTTTTTTTTAAGCACCTGGCCCCAGGGTTGTGTTACAGCCTCCACAGAACATAACTAATGTGGAGCTGAGCTTTTTCTTCCCTCACTGGCATCCCTAAGGTGAAGGAGCTGGGACTGGGCACAGGCCTTGCAGCAGCCTGTGGCAGCAGGTGTGTGTGTTTCACTGCTGAAGGACAGGACAGAGGTGTTGGGGTTGTGTTTTGGGGGTCAGCATGAGAACTCACTGCTGCAGGCATGTCCCTCAGGGCAGAGGTGCATGACTTGGTGCTTCCATCGACCATGCATGGCTGGTCTGTTCAGAATAAAGCATTTGCTGTTGTGATTGCCCACGAGGGGAGTTGTACAGCAGGAGCTAAAAACTGACTACAGCAAATGTCACATACAGCAGAGTTGAACCATGAAGCTCTACTCCAGTTTCTCCTTTTCAGTTTGCCCTCACACACTTCCTCTCTACCCCTTACCTCCAGGAATTGGTTTTTGCTCTGTTTCTGGTCAGGCCTGGTCACTGCTCCCAGTGACTGTGAGGGCTGCCCAGACCAGCTACTGTGCACTGAAGATGAACTGGAAGCTGTCAAGTGACAGCTGTTTGTAAAGCAGCTGAGTAACCAGCCCTAAGAAGTTTGTGAGTTAAAATGGGGACTTATATTTCAGGCAGGTATTTGCATTGTGGCATCTCCACTACCCAGTTCTGGACCCTGAAAAGCTCTTTCCAGCAGCTGCTGCTCTCTGTGCTGGAGGACTGAGTGCAGGAAGGAGCCAAGTGGGAGCTGAGGCTCTTCCTGCAGGCAGAGAGGAGCAGGGGCTGTGCTGCTGTCAAACTCGGTGGGCACAGAGTAGAGCAGGAAAGGCTGTGCAGCCCCCAGCAATGCTCCAGGCAGCAGGCACAGACCTGCAGCAGCACTCACACTCCCTGGGCTTTCACACCACCACGAGGCTGTTTACAGTGAGACGCTGCAGAGCAAAGTGGGGGCAGAGGATTCCCACAGCAGTCAAGGTCAGGGAAGTGTTAGACCACATATCAGCCAGGGAAAGGGAGAGGCTGGAATACTACTCATTGTTTCATTTATCAGCCCTTGGAGTGGAACTTTGAAGTTAAAAAAAAAAAAAAAAAAGAAAAAAAAAAGCTGCATTGGTTCCCTGCACGAGTTACCACCATTTCCTCAGACTGGCCATTTCCCAGAGCTGCAGCCCCCCCAGCCCAGCCCCGGGGAGAAAGGCTCACAGGTAACAAGCAAGCCCTGGGGCTGAGCCACAGCCACCACTCCCCTCACACTGCTCCTGGACACATCCAGGTTTTCTCCCACCTGGAACTGCAGCCCTGCTAGTACAGGCACCTGAGGGGTGGAGGGAGTGATGGTACTGAGCTACAGAACAAAGGTGGAGGGAAACATTAAACATTTACATGTTTATTATAATTACAATTTACATTACTCCAAAGAGCAGCCCCACTGCTATGTTCTAATTCTTAGCAATAAAGTCCTACAAAAATAAATCCAAGCTTTTACAGTAACCTAGGTCAATGCATAACTAAAAAAACTCTAGCTATGTAAGGGGTTCAGTCATCAAGGTGCTTTTTCAACAAAATTCCCTACCAACCAAAAACAGGACACATGCCTATAGCAATTTAATCCACTTAGTCATGCAAAAAAAGGTAACCCCTCCCTCCCTGCCCTCTCCCCACATACAGGTTTTTAAAAACAAAAGAAAAAACCCAACTAAACTATTTACAGTATGGGGGTATAGAGGAAAGAAATTAAACATGCCCATCTGTTAAGCTTCATTATATGGACTCCCATCCCTAGTTTAATGAAAACATTCCAAAGTGTTCCACCACAGTCTACTAGAGTACAGAAAACTGTTTGCATTTGGTGCTGCCTCCAGCGAGGCACAAACCAAGGCAACAAGGCAGAGCTTCAGGTCTCCTTCCCAGACAGTCACTACTGCCAAAAGCTCTGCTCTGAGCAGGGATCTCACTGCTCCCAGCTGTCCCCAGCTCCAGGCAGGAGCTCCAAGCCCCTGAGGCACTCCCAGCACCCTCAGCTCCAGGGACAGCCATGGATCCACATATGCCTGCAGTACCTCCACCCCAGCACCAGCCCACAAACAGCTGTACAGTCATTTACACTACTACATGATCAACACTCCAGTATTCCCAAGTGACAATATACACAACTCCTCAGCACCAGGAATCCATTCTTCCAGATACCAAGTGCTACTTCACACCTGCTGTCAAGAACAGCGAGACCAGCAGCACCAAAGAATCCATTTGGTTACTCAGAACAAACAAATTAGAGCTGGTTTATTTCAAGTGAGCTTTGGTTCCGTGTTAAAACAGCATGATTGATCTTCTCCAGGGTTCAGAAAAGGAGTCTGACTTGGAGCTTAGACTATAGCAGCCTTTGAGAGACCCAGAAAGAAGAACCATGTAAGTTAGTCTGCACTTAAAAAAACACAAACAAAAAAAAGACACCCTGAAGAAGGTACCCCTGAACACATTCCCTCTTCCAAAGAATATTCCAGCTGACAGTTGCTGGTCCAAAATAAGTCCAGAATATAAGCAGTAGTACATGAAGTTCTGTCACTTGAGCTGAGACAGTAAACAAGATGAACCATTTTCCCACATTAGTGCAGCAGTTGGTTGTTTTCTTTCTATATACAGTTTCATCCTCTCAGTGGAGATGTTGGAACCTATTCAGAAAAAAAGGCAGAATCAGGTTTGGTATCATGGGAATCTTATCCCAAGGAAAAGGAAAAGCACACTGTGCCAACTGAAATGCTTAGCTAGAAAGAGCTGCTTGCTTGAGCTGAGCCTCTCTCAGACAGGTGAGCCCAAGAAAAACAGATCAGCATGTTAAACACCACATTAAACCACTATTTCCTTCTACCATTTAGAAGGATCAGATACAATAAGGAACAATTCTTGATATACCCATGAGACTGGAGAGCAAAAGAGGCTGCACAAACAGGTCAGGCAAGGAGTAAGGGACAAACCTGGCTCAGAGACAGAATTTACTCTTGCTAGAGCACTTGCCTCTGGAGTTACACTCTGCCAGTACCAGCTCTGTGGGTAGGTTGGTTTCTCCTTGCTGCTCCATTGCCCCTTCCACCTCGAAATCCCCCTCGGAAGCTGCGGCCGCGCAGGAACCGCCCGGACACTCCAAACGTCTCCGTGTTGAGCTTCCTCTCCTCAGCCCACGTGGTGCGCCTGGAACTGGACACGACTGCATTCAGCCTCAGCAAACACTGAACAGCACCAGCTCACTTGGTGAGGAAGCCTCAAGCCTCTATTTTGAGCTGAACTGCCACAAGAACCAGCTGCAGCACACTCACTAACCTGATCCCCTGCAGAGACACTGCCAAGGGATTCCTTCCCTGACACTGAAGGGAGGTCTGACTGCTCCAGGCAGTGATAACATCAGTGTTGGCTGTGAAAAGCCGAAGCTTTCCCTTCAGATTCCCAACATTTAACTTCATGCATTTCCATAGACAGACCTGATCTCCTCTCTGCCCAACTCCAGGCTTAGCTCACTCCTGTCTACCAGCTGCACCTTCAGTACAGCATGAGCCTGGTGCCTCCCCTCCCACAAACCAGATAAGGAATTTGTTTAAGATCAACGGGTTCAAAGTCAGCACTGGGAAACAGGACTGCAATTTCCTCTATCACAGTTTAGGCAAGTGTATCCTATCATCTGAAATGCTTTTTGTTTGCTCCCACTGCACAGAAGCTTGGTTGGTATCACTTGTGAGCCACCAAATGTGTGGCAATACTCCCTTCTAAAGTGTTTTGCTGACTTTCTTGCATCTAAAGTTTTTAAATAGTTAAACCATGTCACACAGATTGTGCCTAGAACCCAAGCTTTTAGGGAACACTTACCTAGACTTCAGTTCTGATGAAATGTTGTCAAAGAAAGACTTGGATTTATCATAATAGCAGTTGGGTCCCAGCAGGTCCTCCTCTGCATTAGCATCATTGTTCTGGGTTGCCACTCCAGGGTCTCCCTTTTCTTCCCCCGTCTCTGCTTTGTCATCTGAAGATAATGAAATGTATTACACCTCCCCTGAGGCACACTGCAGAGCCATCTGTTCTCTTGCTCCCTCAAACATGATTTGAGATGTAGTCATGCAGTTTCTCAGAATGAGTTTGTCTATGCAGAGTTTACTGCTAGCTCAGCAATTTGTATTTAATAAAGGCACAAACCTTTAAAGTTTAGTTTCTTCTTGAATTCTTTATCCAGCTCCTCTCTGTTGAATTGTGCATTTGCACTTTCAAAGTCAAAGTCACCTTCAAACTTTATTGTATTTTCCTTCACAGTAGTTGGTCTGTTTTGTCCTCTAGAACGGTTTCTGGTTCTCCTGTTTCCTGAAAGAAAGAGAGTTTAAACACTTGGTAACGCACAGGGAGGTTACATGGCTTGCTCAAGACCAGAGGAAACCAGGGATAGAACTCAGGAGTTTGTGGCTTCCAGACCTGTGGTTAGGCCACACCTCTCTGAAAGTAACTTCTCAATTTGGCTGTATTTACATTACAGCAACAC